TCCAGGAATTCGTCATTGGAGACAGCTCTGCCCTCCGAGGATAGTGCATTGGACGAGGGCGAGGAAGTGAAGGGTGAAAAGAGATCGGGGCCCAAGGCCCTCCTACGTCGACTTCCGACATTCTCGGATGCGACTCCTCGCAAGCATCCCGAGCGTGGCAGTGCGAAGAGTCTTTTGCAGTCAACCGCGGCTTTGGCGACTCCGTCTCGACGGGCCGAGCAAGAAGAACAGCCTAGAGCTTCGGCAGTGGATAGTCCTTTGAAGCAGGGTCCAGATGCTCCATTGCATGATGCACAAGTGTCCCAGACGAAGAAGCTCATACAAAGGAATGCACACATTCTGGCGGAGAAAATTGGTGATGGCCGAAGATTTGAGCCCGAGTTCCACACGGTCCGGAACCAGATCGAGAAAAGGCAAATTAAAGATCCATCGGTTCCTTTCAGCATGATCCGTCCCCCGGTTACGGGGCTTGCGCAAGCAGAGGTCTCGGCTGCAGATCGTCCTCAAGGCAGGCGTCGTGGTGCGTCAGGTCAGTCAAGGACATGGAGCATCTCCAACCGCAGCATTTCAACTTCGGTGGACTCCGGTATCCCGGATCGAAGGGAAATCGAGCGTACAAGGGCGCTTCTTCTGGCATCGGGCATCAAAGCGCGGGAAATCACCCGCCGGGCCGAATCGATACGCAGTCCGCCGCCAGACTTTCTACAGAAAGCCTATCCGGACTCCCCTGTGCCCCAGGTCATCCGCCTCTATGAATTCGATGTGGCGGCTAAGGGACTGCTCCGGCGATTAGAGACATCTCAAGAATCGTTCCGGCGAACTGTGGAGGGTTTCCCTAAAGCCTCGGGCGCTTTGAAAACGCAGTTGGCACAGCTGGAAGATATGGTCAACCAGACTCTTGCCCCGCGAGTTCGAGCATTAGCGGACGACGCCGAAAATCTCAGCGTCGAACTCAACACGACCAGTACGCTTGCAGTGAAGCAGTTGAGCGACAAACTCGACAAGGGCATCCGGAAGCGCCATCGGCGTTTGCGCTGGCTCCGCCGTACCGGCTTCGTCATGCTCGAATGGGCGCTTGTTGGGATGCTGTGGTGGGTGTGGTTGATTGTCATGGCCTTCAAGGTCCTTCGCTATATCTTTCGAGGAGCAATTTCCGGCATCCGGTGGGTGCTGTGGTTGTGATGAGGACATTTGGTTCTTCTGTTTTCCGTCTTTCTACATACTTGTAATATTTTGAAAGCTGTGGGCCATCTGCCACCTGCTCTATTTCCTTCTCTTCCATTAAGAGTTATATACCCATTATTGAGGATTCAGTTTGCCTGGCGCAGCTTACTCTTTTGATCCAAGGCATTGTCTTTGGTACGGGTTTACTGGGTTACCTTTGCCAGATATTGTGCATATTTATATTTCTGTATGATGTCGAGATAATAAGAGTACCTCTATTTGCATGGTAGCTTCTTGGGTCTCCTTCCTGTACATGATTTATTGGTCTTCACTCGTTTTGTCTTGAGAGATGAGCGAATATGATGCCTCAGGCTACCGATGCGTATATATCCTAATCAAGTAGGTGAATCATTGCCTTCTGGAGTCGCTTTTCGAAACTTTCTTCTGCCTTTACGGTCGGCCAGACACGAAACAATAACAATAACATTGCTAGGGGTTTGGTGGTGACGTAGGAGCCCTTTCTGTGTTCAGGCGGATTTATGTTGACTGTTGACGATCTCTAGCTAGTAGCTGTAGAGAGGTAGGCACCACTGGACACTGTATTTTGTGCTTCAGTAAGGTTTCTGAAACATCAATAGGCAAGTTTTATGTATAATAAATTGATATATATATATATATATATATATATATATATGCACACTAGTCGTTGAGAGGGAGATAGCTGGATACTGGTAGCTCTGGGGTATGAATCATAATCAAGCTATTGCGCTAAATATAACATCCAATCCGAGCGGACTGGATAGAATGAGGACAGCTGATGCTGATGATGATGATGATGATTCTGAGGGGTATGAGGATGCACCTGCACATGCAATGCAGGCTGCAGAATCATACAGCAATGCCCCCTGCAGATCAGAAGGGGTCGAGGAGCCGGAAGAGAACAGAAATCAGGCTGCAATTTTGGGTTGAAAAGAGCAAAGATGAGTCAATTGGGGGAGGACGAATAGAATGACGGATATTAATTGCACCTTAAGCACAGTACGTACTAGGTAAGGGTACACTACTCAGTACTCAGTACGGAGTATGTGCCTAGTGAGAAATGCCTCAGCTTCGTCATAGAGGGGCACCGGAAATAGCGTACGCCTCGCCAGTGTCAGAGCGGTTCCATCCCCACAGTCGGTGCGTTCTCCTCCATCACCAACTTTTCCTCGTTCTCTCGTTTCTTTCCTCTTCCTCTCCTTTTCTCCTCTCCCTCTTTCTCACTTTCCCATCCATTGCCATTCGAGGTAAGTTGCATTTCGTCTGATTCCCTGCTCCTTCATTTCCTTGATTTGGTCTCTGCCTATATTGGCATTCCTTATCGACTTCCCCCACTTTCGCTGGCGTGTGCCCTTTGCCCTAAAACACCAAACATCCACCGCCGCCGAACGAGCGAAAAAAAAAAGACCGCACGCGCCTCGTCGTTCGCCCATAAAATCTCTCACCTCTCCCTCCCCTCCGTCCTACGGTCATTTCTCACCTCTCCTGCAAGGGTACTGACCGCTGCTCTCTTCTCTGACAGATTTATCTCATTTGTGGGATTAAAAAAAAGTTCTCTTACTTTGTCCACCGAGCGACAAAGTTTTCTCCTCAATTTTAAGACCGCGTCTCTACGCCTTTGGAAACTCCCCGGTTCCAAAGGCACCAGCTCATCACGGCTTTCGCAGCCTCTCCCTTACCCTTTCGTCAAATTGTCTCGCCTCGACGGCTCCGCGACACTCTTAACAACATTCCACCACCTCCTGCTGACCCCTCCCTCGGTTTCCTCCGGTGCGCCATTTTTTAACCACCCTTTGACGCCCCTCCAACTTATTCCCGCACTCTTTGAGCTGCCGCATAGGACTTCTCTGAAGGTTCTTCCTCTTAAGGAGGAAGGGTCTAGGAGGCTTGGTCCAGTCAACCTCGGTTGCGAATCTTTTCGTCCTCCTTAACACGCAGTCGCGTTCTTGACTCTTGTCTCATAAACTTATTTATCTCTTTCAAAACCAAAACCTTTCAAGACCTGTTCCGTGCTTCGTCGCAGCGCGCATGGTTATGGCACCGACTGCTTGTGTTCCTGCTGAAGTATGCATGACCAAACACTGTCACGACAAAAACGACTATAATTTTAATCACCATAGTCAACTCAGCAATCATGGATGGGACGACCTTTCGCAATCTAGGTTGGCTGCCAAGAACCTGGTCTTGGACGTCCTGAAGAAACGCGCCGCCGAGGTGGATGTGGACCGGTGCGGCCCCGGTGAAGAAGATGCCTTTTATGTGGCCGACATGGGGGAGATCTACCGACAGCATCTTCGCTGGAAAATGAACTTGGGTCGCGTCAAGCCTTTTTACGGTAGGTTTTTTTTTTGACCATTGGATCTTCAGACCAATGAGCTAACGACTCCCAGCGGTCAAGTGCAACCCCGACCCGGAGATCCTTCGTCTCATGGCTAAGCTTGGAAACGGTTTCGACTGTGCCTCCAAGGCGGAAATCGATCTGGCCCTCGGGACTGGCATCGATCCTAGCCGCATCATCTACGCGCAGCCCTGCAAGACCAAGTCCTATCTGCGCTATGCCGCCAAGGTGGGCGTCAAACAAATGACCTTCGACAATGCCGACGAGCTCTACAAGATCAAGGCCTGCTACCCGGACGCGGAGCTCTACCTGCGTATCCTGACCGATGACTCGACCAGTCTGTGCCGGCTCAGCATGAAGTTCGGCGCCTCGCTGGACATCGCCCGTCAGCTGCTTGAACTTGCCCACGCGCTCGAGCTCAAGGTCGTCGGAGTGAGCTTCCACGTGGGCTCCGGTGCCGAGGATCCGCGCGCGTTCCTCAAGGCCGTGCAGGATGCTCGTCTGGTCTTTGACCAGGCTGCGGAGGTGGGCCACGAGCTCCACACCCTGGATGTCGGGGGTGGCTTCTGCCAGGACACTTTTGAAAAGTTTGCCGGCATCCTGAGTGAGGCGCTTGACACGTATTTCCCGCCTCACATTCGTGTCATTGCCGAGCCTGGCCGCTACTACGTCGCCAGCGCCTTCACCCTGGCCGCCAATGTCATTGCCCGCCGCGATGTGCGTGACCCCGAGGACCCGGCCACCGATGCCTACATGCTGTACCTGAACGACGGCGTGTACGGCAATTTCTCCAACATCATCTTCGACCACCAGCATCCCGTGGCCAAGATCTTGACCTGCTCCGGCGAGACTCAGCCGTCCGCTCTGAATGCTGCGACTTCAGAGGGCATCGCCTACTCCATCTGGGGTCCGACCTGTGATGGTATCGACGTCATCACCCAGCGCATTGTGCTGCCTGGTCTGTTGGACGTCGGCGACTGGCTGTACTTTGAGGAGATGGGCGCTTACACCAAGTGCAGCGCCACCCGGTTCAACGGCTTCTCGGACAACCACGAGGTGATTTACATCTCGAGCGAAGCCGGTGCAACTGCTCTCCTGGAGTATTAAGAGACATTCTTGTATTTGCTTAAGCTTTGACTGTATTCATTTGCTGTCTGTATTTATGTTTGTTGTGGGATAGATAATTGGGGAGGACGGGAGATCCCATAATTGATTTGCTTTTTGCTTGATAGACTAGACATTGTCACACTGTCTAATCGGTCTTCTGAGCTACTTTGGTTCTCTTGGTAATCCTGGACGCTATAGAGTGCATTCATTTTTGATGCAGAAAAATGGGGGTCATCTGTATATCTATGAAATATCTATCTTTTTATCTACATTCCTGCCCGCATCGTCTCTTGACCACAATCATAAGGAGCCAGCTCCACTGAAGTTCATGTACAGAAAGAAAACCTATAATCTATACCAGGCGTTCGACCACTAACTCGCCCGCGGCACCTTCACTAAGCTGAATCAACCCACCAGCTTCCAGCTTCTTCTTCCACTTGCCCGACTCGTACCGGGCCAGGATAAGCGTGAGACGCGCAACGACAACGGGGTCCGCGCTCTCCGCCACCATCTCCGAGGGCGTGAAGGTCCAGCGCCCAAAGGCCCAGTTGAGAATGTAGTGTCGGACAGCTTCATTGCCGGACGTCAGAGGCGGCGCGGGTTTCTTCTCGCCGGGGTTGTCCCCGGAGTCGGCGGGCGGTTGCGAGGCAGGACAGCGCATGGTCCCCTTGATCCGGTAGACTTCGTCCTTGGGCGCAGCGAGCAGCATCATCTCGAGGGCGGCAACATCGATAGTCTGGTCGGGCCGGGAGGCTTTGAGCGTGACGGACAACACTTCGACTTCAGACTGGTGGTCATGCCGATGCTGGTGATGATCGTCCGTCAACCGCAACGCATCCTCAGCATCCTCCTTGGCGAACAACGCCCCGTCAAGCCCCAGTAGAACCTCCTTATCCACCCGGCCCTTATCCGACTTGACCCACGGGGTCTGCACCTCCAGATCCCCCACGCGATCCAAGCACAGCTCAAAGCGCTCCTCCGGCACCCCCTCCCACTTATTGAAGATAATCAAGTCCGTGTACTTGGCCTGCAGCTTCGCCGTGTACGACGTATCCTCGTACCCCTCCCAATTCTCCACATCAATCACGCTGATCACCCCGTCCAGCACGAAGCTGCCCGGCTGCTCGCGCGCAAGCCGGTTCACCTCCATCGCCAGCGTCGCGGGGAACGCGCTCCCGCTCGTCTCGATGACGATGCGGTCCGGCTTGACCTCCTCGCGCAGCTGGTTCAGCGCGTCGCTGAGCTGCCCCACGAGGTTGCAGCAGATGCATCCGTTCAGCAGCTCGCGCACGCCGGAGATGGACTGCGTCGAGGCGAGCTGCGAGTCGATGGCTACATCGCCGAATTCGTTTTTGAGGAGTGCGAGGCGGTAGGTCGGTGGGAGCTGGGGGATGAGGTTGAGGAGGAGGGTGGTTTTGCCGGAGCCGAGGAAGCCCGTTATGATTGTTATTGGGATGGGCATTTTCTATTTTCGTTTTTCTTTTCTTTGCCTGACTGTTGACAAGTCTCAGTCCGATGGTGATACTTTTTTACACCGGAGGGGTAGAGCCGCTAATCCTGATTTGGAAGCCCTAATCTTATGACGTAGCTACCTGTCTATGAGGGTAAAGAATACTTCATATTCTTTTAAATGGAGCCATTGAGGCAATAGAGTATCTATTTCGGATATCAATTGGTTAGATGTACAGGATGCAATTCAGGGATGGTGGTCAGAATACTACATGGAAGTGTAATGGCCGTGTCGAGACAGCAACCAGCAGTAGCACCAGAACGGACAACAACGCTTCAATCAAACAGCTTGTACTAATGCCATGGGCTATCATTCAGTCCTCTCATAAGAAACCTCAGTATATCCCTCAACACCAGCCCTCGCCATCGCCTCATCCACACTCTCCAGCGACAGCTCCCTCCGCATCCTCCTCAACTCAAACTCCCCAAAATAGCTCGGCTCCTCGCTCACCTTGCAGAACCCAACACTCTCAAACAGCGCCAGACTGCGCCCATTCTCCTTCCCAATCTTCACGCTCAGCGCGCCAAACCTGCAGTCCGTCCTGCCTTGTAATGTAGTAGCGCCAGCACCAGTGCCTTGCACAAACTCCCCCACTATGTCTGCCTCATGCTCAAGCACATACCGCAGAAACGCAAGCAGCGCAGCCCGCCCATAGCCCTTTCGCTGATTTGCCTTCTCGGCAATCATCAGCTCAATCTCCCCGATGATTATTTCTGGACATGACGGGCCGTCTTCGTCCTCATCCTCAACCCGGAGAAAGAGGTTAATGTCGCCGAGCATCTGCTCAGGTGCATCATCTCCGTCCTGCAGCTGCAGCTGCAGCCGTAACCCTTGCCCTTGCCTCTCTTGACCTTCAGTCTGAGACTGATGCTGAGGCTGAGGCTGAAGAACAGGCAAAGTAATAATAAAAGTCAACTTATCGGCATCCTGGCGCCAGCTGCGCTGCATGGCGTACTCCTCTTCCAGAGTAAGTGGTTCCGAGGCCGTGGCGGCTTGGATTTCCTGCTCTTCATTAGCTTCTGCTCATCTTATCAGTTGAGTTGAGGATGTGGGGGGAGGAAGTGTCTACCTCATCTTTCATCCATTCGTGGTAGCGTGGGACGTGCCAGCTGGAGTATGGAACTAGAAGTACCTTTGAGGTGGAGATTGCTATGTCTTTTGTTAGATTTTTGGGGGTTTTTGAATTCTTTGTGGTGGTTCTTTGAAAGGGGCGCGCACCGGTTTTTGCGTTGAGGCGCATGTCTATTATTTTGAAATTTATGTCGGAGTCTATGTCTATTGCTGCCTGCAGCTTTTTTTGCCTTGATTTGATCGGTAGATGGACTGACTGGTGGAAGAGGAAAATGAGGACTTTTGCCCCGGTCTTGGCGCCGTTGATTGCACGAATATAGCCTACAGAACTACGGAGAACAAGTCATTGCAGAACTCTGCGTGATGCACATATTGATGTCATCGGGTGCTTCTATTGTATTATTGCTTCTCTTGCTTTCCTGCAAAAGCACCGAACTTGACCACCTCGACTTCCAATGTCTCGCTATCCACGAGAATCAACTCCCCCGTCTCCTTGAACTTGGGAATCGACAACAGACGCACACGCGCACCAGTATTATCTGCCGCGTCGGTCATTTCTGTGTCGGCTCCGTTAAGTCTAAGGGGAGAGTCGCCTTCCAGCACGGCCGTCTTGAACCGTGGCTGATTCCCAGCGAAGAAGATGTGCGGACAGGAGTGCATTACAAAAGGGTCGTTTGTCTGGAAAGGATAGGACCCTGTAGATAGTCAGTACTTGATCGAGATATGCGGCAAGAGAAACGAACATATTGTGTCAGGCGCGGTGGGAACTCCACATCTCCACCGTAGCATGGCCTCCATGATTCTCATCCTGGCCTCGATGTCCCCATCATCGGCGTCCAGCGCATCACGGTCCGCAAAGTCCAGATACCGCAGGACATCATCCACGTTCTGTCCGCTGCTTCCCCACAGCCGCCATCCCTCGACATCTCCTTCCCACGGGTTGGTGACACTGTCGAACCAGCCTGGCTCGGGAGCTTCGTCACCCGACGGAGGCGGAGCACAGTATGCCCTGGCTCGTGGGAACATCGCTCGGTGGATCCCCTGCTGAGGGAGTGCAAAATTCGCCGGGTCACTCTCGCCAGGCATGAGAGTCACAGGTATGCTCGGCAGGATCTCCGCGAGGAAGTTGTCTAGTTGTGTGATGGGCGAGGCGTTGTATGCAGAGGCGTCGTACCCATACTTTCTCGGGCCCATCTTCTTCTTCGCGGCCGCTCCCATCTCTGTGCCGGTAGCTGCTGCCTCAGTCGTCACGCTAGCCCCCAGTGAGTTTCCGGCAATGATAAGCCGTGTGATTGAGGACGCATCCGGTCCTGTGTACCCCAGAAGATAGTCTGTCAGAAGTTCCAGCGCAAGAGTATCACTCGATGTGCCCGTAATCCCAAGACCACTCACAAAAGCAATCTTGCCCTTGCACGACTCTTTTGTATCCGTCTTGTCTTCGTCCCGCTCCCACCGACGGGGCTGCGGAGCCAGGTCAGGCACTCTGATATCGATCGTTTCAAAATCACCATTCGCATTCTCTGTCCCCAATACCGCTATAATGGCTCCTGTCGCGAGTTGAGTTGACCTCAGAAGATTCCCTGCTAATCGCAGGCGGCCTGACTCGTCTTCCAACATGATTTGAGTCAATTCCGGATGAGCGGGATCTTGGTACGTGCGACGGGGCGGAGGGGCTAGGGTGTGACTCTAGGAGGTGTCAGCGATGCCTGGAGACACGACGGATGGGGAACGTTCGGACCTCTCTGGAAAGATCATCCAGGATATTCGGCTTCAAGGGCATATCCATGTAGACCGTCCCAGCGACCCAGCAAAGCTCGCCTTGTCGGACATCGAGCACTCGCTCTACACGACGAGCGTGTTCTCCGGCGATCTATCACCCATCGACAGGGGTTAGAAAATGACGACCAGGTGCCAAGCGACCGTCTTACACTGAATCCTTCCCATGCGTCCATTCCAACCTCTTCCACCACCGGTTTCAGCCGTGCGAGTCGTAAGAAGTACATATCGCCATATTGTTGCTGATAATGTCTTGCATCGCCGGAGGGGAGTTTGAAGGTATGAAGTGGGTTGTAGTGGGAAACCTCGCGATACACAGGCGAGAACTGTTCGTCACTGTATCGAGCGACCGTTAGCATCATCTTATCCATCTGAGGCTTCTGAGCATGGAGAAGAGCAGACCTCGGGGGTTGCAAAAACACGTCCTCCGCTGTGTTGGTAGCCATTGTGTAAGGAAATCTCTTATCTCCCAAAATGCTCCCTCTGAGCCGTGGAAAATGAGATGATTCTTTCCGCTACGGGCCAAAGAGCGTGTAATTGAAGAAGTTGAAGCCGAGCTTCGTCACTGTTCCGTTGATCTCGAGGCCGCTGTACCACGCGAATCACGCGTCTTTTGGCGTTTCCCCTGGCAGTGTAATTACAATACCGCATTGGGCAGAACTACAACTACTACCTAGGTACTACTACTACAACCAATATAACGCTGCAAGTGCTCTCTCGCTAGAACAGAAGAGATAGCTGCGTTCTTATATTCTACAATGTTGTTTTCTGAGTCCCTTCACCAAGTTCAGAATGTCTTTGAAAATGCTAGATTCTGGTTGATTGACGACATACGACTCGGGTCATCGTTGCGATCGATCTTGGACTTCCATCAAGAATGGCAGAGATTACTCTGAGACAAGCTCCTAGAAAATAAGACCAGCTATAGATTCCCAGTCTCATGCTTTCTTCTGCAATATGCTGGCTGTTTCGGCCAAAAACGTGCTTGTGTCACCGAGGAATGCTGGCTTGAAGCAAAAGCGATGTGTCGGCTGTACAGCTAATCAACCATTACAGATCTCTCTAACGGAGTCTAGAAGATCGAGCTCTTGATCTGCAATAGTGATGAGGTCGTTCACGAGATTACCATTGGTGACTAGACGTCTTGAATGGACCTGGGCTAGATGATTGTTGACTATCTGCCCCAAGGCCACGAAGACATTCCGATCTCCATTCCGCATACCATATCTTCCATGAGTGGATTGCACCGAGTCAATCGAATGCACGAGGCCTTGATTGTTCGGCGTCACCAGATGTCTCCTTCTCTGATAGGTCTGCTCACTTGCACACGGATCCATTTCATTCTTGTCAATTGAGAAAATCCATTCGAATGACATAGTCGAGAACTCGAGAATGGATCTGCCCATATCTCATACGTGCATCTGCATGTCTTCCATGAGTATGGCAGACTTCAAAACATTAGGCAGCCCATATCTCGTCCTCCCATCCGTGGCTGGCCTGAGAGTTGATCTCCCCAGGTCATCCTCACAGTCTCAAGAACGCGTCGAGAACACAACACCAGACGTCGCCAGATCCATCTTCACGACAACAGCACCAGGATGAAGATCCTACCATCTGCCCTCCGTCTTCTAGGCAATTGCCTTGCCATCAGTCTGTTGGCGTGCCTCTTCGTGACGGCGTTCAATCTCGACTTCCTCCCGCGCAGTTTATCCACGCGATTGTTCGGACGAAGCCTTCCAGGATCGCTTGTAACGTCTCCCCAAGGTGCAGTCGGGTATCAGCCTCCTCCAGGGCCCGTTGCCAACGATGCGCGACCAACAGAGACAATGGCCTACAAGACGATCATCACAACGATCATTACCCGAGAGACAACGCACGAACTGAGGCAAGCCCCGGTGGGACTGAGGAACTCGTCAGATCTGCATGGGTATGTCTGCTCGTTTTGATCTCTAGGCGGTTTTTGCTGATGGAGTCTCCCAGACCCTCGAACGTTGTCGTAGTCACCGGGACTGTGACCAGGACACAGGTGATGGTGGTACCGACACAAACAGCTTCCTCCGAAGGAAGTAGAGACGCTACGGATACATGGGGCTTAGCTACATTAGCCTCGTCGGTTTTGTGGGCCTTGTGGCACTTGTTACTGTGAAACGAATAGATGCTCAGGTCAAATCAAATCAAACGTCCACAGCATACTGACCCTCTTCCGTCTATCTCCATGATTATGCAGGATACAAAAGAGTATCTAACCCTCGAGCACGCGGTCAACTGCTGTCTGATTGATCGAATCTGGGTTCCCAGTAGCTAAGACTTGGGCGCCGTGACCAAAACTGCCGATCCCTTCCACGCCAGTCTAATTCTGCTCTGTGGCACCTAGTGGAGTGGATAGGCTGACTCGTAGGGTGGATAGGCGTAATTGGACAGTTGTATTTCTCCTCCTTCAATTCTCTAGTGCTCACGCAGATTATTTCTGTATTCGCGATCCGTGCATTCCAGCTGCGAATCGTAAATATCATAGAATGTGGACCTACATGACAGGCATTGACAATTGACCCAATGGGCTGCTATGCGTACAGTATCCCTGTACACCCCTGATGGCCCGATTGACGTGCGCTGAAACCCTGAGCCTCATAAGCGGTTTTGCAAAACCTCCAATTGCTCTCCAAGTTTGGGGCCGAATTCTGTTTGTTACAATTGACTCTTGTGTACTATCCTCGGCGGTAACCTAAGCTTACAAAGTATCCTACGCTGGTCAACATTCTCCCTCTGTATTGTTGTTGCCTCTACGCCCTCACGGCACGTCTACCCGGAGTCCACAGTCAATGTCTGGCGTATTAGACGGCCCCGCTGGGTTTGCGCTCCGCAAGAATGGCACCTGTCTCGACACAGAGGTGGACTGTGGTGCCACCCTTCCCCCTTTTCGAGCCTGTTGTCCCGCGGGATCACACTGTCCAAGCCAGTACAATGTGAACTGCTGTCCATCAGCCGCGAACTGCACGCAGCTGCTTGTGGAGACGCCGAAATGCGCCAATGAGACGTGGGATTTGTACAATTATTACGGATACTTTTGCTGTGAGAATGGGACAACGGCCTTTGGGACGAGCTCGAACAGTGATGGTTGCGCGCTGCCGGGGTATAAATTCCATAGCTCTGAGACTCTGTTGCCGCTTGTCTCCTCGGGGAAGGGTACGTGGGACTTGCAAACATAAAAGGATTCGTTCAGGTCAATGCTAACGTACCGCTCCAGCATCGATTGCGACATCGACTTCCTCCGTGACATCCACACCGTCGACGAGCTCTACATCCTCGGCATCACCAACGCAAACATCGACTCAACCCTCCGACACGTCCTCCAAGACAAACACAGGAGCCATTGCAGGAGGCGTAGTCGGCGGCGTGGCCGGGGTAGCCATCATCGCTTTCTTGGTGTGGTGGCTTCTCAGTCGCCGAACGAAACGTCAACCAGTCGTCCCCGGGTCAGAGGCGGTCCCCGTCACAGATTATAAGAATAACAGCCTGATGGTCAGTGAACTTGACGGCCGCGGTACTGCATATGAACTCGGGGCCAGGCAAATCCTCACGAGTTACCGGCGGACGCGACATTCCATCGATGATACAAGGGACGAAGGATACCACTAGTTAATCATTAGCGTCTTTGTCACAAATTGGCTATGTGAGTAATGAAAACGAAAAAGAGATAGTCAGCAGATGGTAGATGGATGATTCGTAAAGGTTAGAATGATGGCCTGGTTCAGCCTCGGTCCGGCTGCTCGGGGCCTCCGCTTCCCCGCATTCACACAGGCATAACAACTGCATCATCTCTGCTTGATCGGTAATTATACGTGTGAATAATGATTCTGAGGCTCGTGAGAGCTATTTCTGCTGCATTTATGTAGTCAATAATCCTATTAATATGACCTCTCTGTTTACTCGAACCCTTAGATCTATTAAACCGTCCCACCCTAACTATTCCTTCTCAATCTAGGCACATCCTTTTACCGCAGTTCTCTCCTTCACTCAGTCCTCTGCGACAGCAGTGAAGAATAGGGATGACACAAGACAACGCATACTTTTGAAAGGCAACTTGATACCCCTAGTTTATTGTCGAAGCTACAAAATGTCCGTCAACACGCCCCTCTGCTCCCTCCTCAATATCCAGCACCCCGTCCTGCTAGCAGGCATGGCTCGTGCATCTGGGGCCCCCCTCGCCGCCGCCGTCTCCAACGCAGGCGGGCTAGGAACCATCGGCGGGCTGGGCTACACCCCCAGCAGCTCTCGGAGATGCTCACGGAGCTCAAATCGCTGCTCCGCGACAAATCCTTCCCCTTCGGCGTGGACCTGGCCCTGCCGCAGGTCGGCGGCGGCGCCCGCGCCACGAACCACGACTACACACACGGCCAGCTCGACGAGCTCATCGAGGTTGTCATCTCGCACGGCGCGAGGCTCTTCGTGTCTGCCGTGGGCGTGCCGCCCGAGCGCATCATCAAGCGGCTCCATGGCGCCGGTATCCTGGTCATGAATATGGTTGGTGCGCCCAGGCACGCGGAGAAGGCGTTGCAGCGCGGTGTGGACATTGTCTGTGCGCAGGGTGGGGAGGGCGGCGGGCATACGGGCGACATCCCCTTCTCCGTCCTCGTGCCGGCCGTCGTGGACGTCGCGAAGCGGTACAAGAGCCCGCTGACGGGTCAGCCGGCGCTGGTTGTCGCGGCGGGCGGTATCAACGACGGTCGCAGCTTGGCGGCGTCGCTGATGCTGGGTGCGTCCGGGGTCTGGGTGGGTACGCGGTTCGTAGCATCCGAGGAGAGCGGTGCTAGCCGGATGCACAAGGAGGCCGTGGTCCGGGCCCGGTACGGCGAGACGCAGCGGACGCTTGTCGTCACCGGACGACCACTGCGGATGCTGCCGAATGATTACATCAAGGACTGGGAGAAGAGGCCCCAGGAGATCGCCGAGCTGACGGCCAAGGGCATCGTCCCCATGATGCACGACCTGGAGAATGAGAAAGAGGTCGATATGCCCTTCCTCATGGGCGATGTCTCGGCCAGCGTCACAGAGATCAAGCCTGCAGGGGACCTTGTGCGCGAGATGGTCCGGGATGCCGCCGAGATGTTGAAGCTAGGAGCGTCGTATACCACCGGATCGTCAAGCAAACTATGATACTTTGGCTGTATGTAGTTTAGTTGCCTTTGGCACGCCAGAGATCCCACCATATTTGAAAAATCTGCAATGTTGGAAAAATGAATTTCATGATTGCCTGAAGCTATCAATAGGGTTTTTGTTCATTCGGCATGTACAAGTACAGGAACATGTGCAACAAAACAGAACGGGTGCGACGGGCGAAATGAAAAACCTCGTGGATGAGGAGACATGCTTTGTGGTATACTTGAGACTAGTTCGGCAGCACCAGACGAGAGGCTCAGCAATAGTGTCTCCATTTCTCTGGCTTGGACTATGCTGAAATGAGCCTTCAGGCGCGAGAGGCTTGCTGCTACACGTCCTTTCCTGATATGCGCGACTCAAAATCAAATACTCATAGCGAATCGAGTCATATCCACGCGAGCGACAAGCGTCTCGCAACCAATATACACCCTTCTATGCATTGGCTGCCAGGAGACTCATAGAACACGAGGTAAACGCGATGCAGCAGGCACTAGCCAGGACCAAGGTCCGTTAGTGGCATCCGTTGATCATGGCTTTGTTTCCGTTCGCTCGCGCTTCCAAGAGGTTAGGCGGCGGGGGTGGCCCAAAGACAGGCTTCTCAGTCGGCTGGGGAGCGCTTCGGCCGCCGTTGATGTCGTGCTCCGGATTGTCCAACTCGTATTCGTCGTCGCTGATACCCTCGTCGTCTTCATCATCTTCGTAGTCTTCGTCGTACTCGCTCTCTGTTCCCTCGTCATCTCCGTTCAGCTCGGCTGTGAGACCCTGCCCACGGCCCTGGGCCTGCATTCGCCGGCAAAGCGCTTCAAGGTGTTGACTCTTCTTTCGCCACTTTTCCAACTCTTCATGATTTCGCGTGCGTTCCTCGGCCATCTCTAGTATGTTTCGGTTCGTTTGGTCGTGCTTGCGCGTGAGTGTCAGGTTCTCCTTCTCTAGCCGTTTGGTTTTCTTCGACATTTCCTCCATCTCTTTGCGGAATGTCAGGAACAGTTCGTTGCTGTTATTGAGCGTATCCTCCACCTGTAACATTATTATTACCTGCTATTGTAACAGAAGTGATGGGCCAGATAATGGACGCCGAAGCATACCTGCTTGAACTTTTCAACGTAGATATTCAGTTGGCTGCGCAACTCGGCTTCGGTATGCGAAAAAGTCGACACCTGCGAACTGAGCGCACGACAACGGGCCGCTTCGTTTTCAGCAGCGCGGCGCTGTTCTTCGTACTTGGCAGTCAGGCACTGGATCTCGGCATCTTTGCTGCGCAAGAGCGCTTTATAATGCAACTCTCGCATTTCGAACTTTTCGCCGATGGTCTTAATTTTGGCGCGCAGACTGTAATGCAAAGGTCAGCGGTTATATTGATGGTCCGTATGACAGTGGACTTACGCCTCGTCCAAGTCGATATCCAGCTTTTCGTTGCGAGGGTTGCCCTTTGCTGCCATGACATCTTGGATATCGTACAACAGAGAGTCAAGCCGTTCATTCACAATCAGCCGCGCCTTTTTCTCAGTTTCCTCCAGCTTTTTGTTTTCGTCCTGTCGAACATGCGCCTGTCAGACCAACGCTCTTGCAGTTGAAATAGACGATTCCGTCGAGTCCGAATCAACCCACCTTGACCTTCTTGTTCTCTTTGGTAAGCTCTCGGCAGAGTTTCTCCAGTTTATCTTTCATGGTGACAGTCTTGTTCAGTTCCGACTTGCCCTTGTCCTGGTCCTTCTGGAGTTGATCGGCCCGCTTTTTGCTTTTGGCATAGTCGCGATCCAGCTTCTTCATGTCCGCCAACAGTTCGGTGTACTTCTTGTGCACGGTCTCCAGTCTGGTCATGGGGGACTCGATGTTGCTGAGCAATTGGTTCAAATCTCTGGTAGCCTTCTTGACCTCACGCTCTGTCGGTATGTGCCGGTTAGTGTCAACTCCTCAATAAGTATCGTAGCGATCAAAATCTCAGCTGCACATGGGAGTTTTTTGCGAGGAAAAGGCCGCATAACGAACCGATTTCTTGTTCTTGATCTTTCTCCCCAGCAGCATCTTGCTCCAGCTGAGAGATTTTGGCAGCAAGTAGCTTAGACGTCTCATTGGGATCCGCCATCTTCTTCCCCTTGTTCTTCTTCGACATTGCTGCAGATGACATGACCTCCGATTCCTGCAGAAACAGTGCCGAATATTCGGTGCGATTTGCGGATTCGTTGGCGGTGGTCGCGTGGCCAATCCACGGATGCCGAAAATTGCGAGGACGGCAAGGTTGGCGAGAAGCGGTAGACCGTTAAATGGGTGGCTTTTTCGGTACGCGGCTGCGGAGGCAGGAACACCACGAATGTAAGACAGTACTCCCCAAGAAGTATGATCGAAGCTCTAGTCTAGTCGAAGTCGATAACCCACAGAGCACCTATAGTAGCGGAGAACCTAGGTGGCCTTCTCTTTTAAGACTCGCAGAACTCGGTGGATTGGATCTCCACAATCTTTTGCACCAAGTTCTGCCAGACGATCGAAGACCTTCAAGCAAGAGAATAGGCTGCGGGAGCTTCCGGAGAATGATAGCAGGTCTGCCAGATGAAAGACGGACACACAGAACAGAAGCTTCGAGGATCTTGCCGGGGAGAATGGATCGAATCGAATCCAGTCGTGAGCGTAGGTAAGAGAGGGGATGCGCTCTTGACCGGCACTAACCCGATTTGAAATCTTCAATCTTGGCATCGGCCAAAGTACCACGGCCTGGTCTGCCATCATATCCTTCGATTCACCTACAACGATATATCTGTTTGGAACTTTTCTACCGTCCTTTTCAAACGCCTCTGTCTGTCAAAGTCACAGGTATCGGTGGTCGGATCAGAGCGATTGGGACACTTTTGGCTGCACTCTTAAACGACCTCCCCATCTCGGTACCATAAGTTGGGGTAACAGCTCCTAGAAGACAGAAAGCTCACGATCCTATAGACTGCTGCAGCTAGGCGGTCTCTCTCCTTTCCAGGTTGTCCACGCCATGTTGCGCTCTTTCTCAGGGGCAGGTAAATGCAAATGCCGAATACCGGTCTCGAGGCAGCCAGTCTGTGGTCGGTCGCTGAGAGTCAGCAACACACTCACTCCATGCATTCAATCTCGAAGAGCTGCATCGACCGTCACTAGCTTGGACAGTTTTCCGAATGTCGGAGAGAAACTTCATGGGTTTACAGTCCAGGAGAAGAAACATGTGCCAGAGTTGCACCTTACGGCAGTACGGTTAAAGCACGACAAGACAGATGCGGATTACCTTCATGTCGCCAGGGAGGATAAGAACAATGTCTTCGGGATTGGCTTTAAGACGAACCCACCAGATGCGACCGGCGTACCACATATTTTGGAGCACACCACGTTGTGTGGAAGTGAAAAGTGAGAAAGCTTCGGCCCGGCTCTTGCGCAAGTATAAATGTGCCTTTAGAGATGACTTATTGCTGACATGCTTCGACAATCTAGGTACCCAATTCGCGACCCGTTCTTCAAGATGCTTCCGCGATCGTTGTCGAATTTTATGAATGCTTTCACCTCCGCCGACCACACCACATACCCCTTCGCCACAACAAATCAACAGGACTTTCAAAACCTGCTCTCAGTATATTTGGACGCTACCCTGCACCCATTGCTGAAATACGAAGACTTCAGGCAAGAGGGATGGCGGCTGGGACCAGAGGACCCTCGTTCTATTCTCGCCCAGGGAGAGCAATCCAAGGGAAACCTGCAGTCAGACGATGTGGTTTTCAAAGGCGTCGTCTACAACGAAATGAAGGGACAAATATCGGACGCCAACTATCTCTACTACATCAAATATCGTGAAAGTATCTGCCCGTCGCTGAATAACTCTGGCGGAGACCCTCAATACATTACCGATTTGACGCACCAGCAGCTGGTGGACTTCTCCAAGCGGAATTACCATCCCAGTAACGCCAAGATTTTGACATACGGGGACATGCCTCTGAGCGGACATTTGAGACAGATCGGTGAGGTATTGGATGGTTTTGGGAAGGGACAGGCCGATCGAGATGTCAAGCTGCCCTTGGACCTGAGTCAGGGTCCCCTGAATGTCACTGTTCCCGGACCTATCGACACGTTTGCCAGCGAGGACAAGCAGTTCAAGACCTCGACCTCTTGGTACATGGGCGACACGACCGACGTCGTCGAGACGTTCTCGGTGGGAATACTGTCTTCCTTGCTCCTCGACGGCTATGGATCGCCAATGTATCGTGCGTTGATCGAGAGTGGGCTAGGGTCTTCTTTTACTCCCAACACGGGCCTTGATTCTTCTGGTAGAATGCCGATCTTTTCAGTCGGTGTTACCGGCGTGAGTGAAGCGGACGCAGCAAAGGTCAAGACGACTATTCAAAGGGTTTTCCAGGAGTCACTTTCGTCCGGGTTCAATGATGAGAAGGTCCAAGGCTTCCTTCATCAACTGGAACTCGCGTTGAGACACAAGACGGCTAACTTCGGTATTGGTGTGATGGAGAAAACCCTTTCGTCCTGGTTCAATGGTTCGAACCCTATGAAGGAGTTGTCTTGGAATGAAGTCATCGATGAATTCAAGAGAAAATATGAACAAGGAGGCTACCTTGAGTCATTGATGCAAAAATATCTCATGAACGATAACTGTCTGACGTTTACAATGGTGGGAACTCCCTCATATAACAAAGATCTCGACGATCAGGAAATGGTGCGTAAGGAAAAGAAGCTCAGTCAGCTGGTTGAACGTCATGGCTCGGTTGAGCAGGCTGTCTCTGCACTCGCCGAAGAAGAGCTCCAATTGCTCAAGATTCAGGAAGAGGCGCAAAACGCCGATTTGAGCTGCTTGCCCTCTCTGCGCGTTGAGGATATCTCCCGGGAAAAGGAACGCAAACCCGTGCGGGAGTCCAAGGTGGACGATATAGACATCGTCTGGCGCGAAGCCCCAACAAATGGACTCACTTATTTCCAAGCCTTGAATTCTTTCGAGGAGCTCCCAGGTGACCTGCGGTTGCTATTGCCACTGTTCAACGATTGTATCATGCGACTAGGCACTAGAGACAGATCTATGGAGCAGTGGGAAGACTTGATCAAGTTGAAGACCGGCGGAATCACAACATCCACTTTTCACACATCTTCTCCTACGGAGTTGGACAAATTTAGGGAGGGCCTACAGTTTTCAGGATATGCTCTGGACAGCAACATCCCCGATATGCTGAAGATTCTCACTACACTCGTCACTGAGACAGACTTCACCAGCCCTCATGCGCCAGCCATGATTCAGGAATTACTGCGCATGACCACCAACGGAGCTTTGGATGCTGTTGCCGGGTCGGGTCATCGATACGCCCTGAATGCGGCAGCCGCTGGTCTATCTCGGAGCTTTTGGGTTCAGGAACAGCAGTCTGGTCTGGCACAATTGCAGGCTACGGCTAACCTCCTTCGCGACGCGGAGAGTTCACCAGAACGTCTTGCTGAGCTGATTGATAAGCTTCGGCTGATTCAGTCATTTGCTATTTCCAAAGGCTCTGGCCTCCGCGTTCGCATGGTCTGTGAGCCCAGCAGCGCATCACAGAACGAGAATATGCTCCAGAAATGGCTGGCAGGACTACCTCGTAACAGGTCACCCACTTCGCCACTTGATCATTCTGCCGTAAATTCGTTGGCTAATAGGGTGTTTTATGACCTGCCTTACAAGGTCTACTACTCTGGACTTGCCATGCAGACGGTCCCTTTTGTTGATCCCTCTAGTGCATCTCTCAGCGTCCTTTCTCAACTTCTGACCCACAAATACCTTCACCCTGAAATCCGAGAGAAGGGAGGTGCGTATGGCGCCGGGGCCAGCAACGGCCCTATCAAGGGATTCTTCGCCTTTACTACCTACCGGGATCCCAACCCAGTGAACAGTCTCAAAGTCTTCCAGAACAGCGGGATCTTTGCTCGTGATCGTGCCTGGTCAGACCGCGAACTTGCTGAGGCCAAGCTGGGCATCTTCCAGGGACTTGATGCTCCTATGAGTGTCGATGAGGAGGGTGCCAGGTATTTCATGAGTGGCGTTACACATGAAATGGACCAACGTTGGCGAGAGCAAGTACTGGACGTCACTGCAAAGGATGTCAATGAGGTTGCTCAGAAGTTCCTAGTTGAAGAATCTCGCCAATCCATCTGTCTGCTTGGCGAGAACAAGGATTGGACTCAATCCGAAGGCTGGGAAGTCCGAAAGCTCTCTATGAATGCCTCAGGTGAGCCTGCGATCGACCCCATGGGCCAAGGTGGCGCCGTGGAGTCTGCTTAAAGTTGAGACAGTCTTCGACGACTTGGTCTAGACGAACATGATACCCCGAATCTTGGACCCTTCATGACGCTCTGGGGCTCCATATTGTATCATTATAATGACCTTTTATCATCACGTTCGCCGGACAAATGGCTTGTATATAGACATCTCCCTGTATAGTATACCGACTTCACTCCCTGTGTTTCTTTTCTTCCGTCCTTTTCCCGTATCGATCATTTCAGCGCGTCTCAAGAACAAACCTCGACCCCGTCTTCGATCTTGATCCCCATGATCGGTAGATGGCTGGTCCTCCTGGCTTTTCAAGCCTGGAGTAAGCGCAAGATCAGTAAGAATGTGAATCCACGAGGTACACTTCTTGTCTCCGTTTCTCAGACCCTCTCTGAACTCTCAGCCTACGCAGAGCGGACTAAAAACGCGAGAACATGAATAAAATTGGAAGAAGCTGGTATCTGTTGTATAGTATCTCATAATTAGTTGATACTTGGATGCCGCCTACCTGGGCTAGACGGTGAGTTGTTGAAGTCTACAGACCATTCGACCGAGGGTACAATCACTCCTCATAAATTAAGAGCTCCAAAGAAGGCCAGAAGCGATAAACGGGGGTCGTGATTGCATTCTGCAACCAATTTCCGATTCTCGTTAGAGTACTCTTGGCTTATCAGGGGTCTGTTGACCAACCGACGAATCGTGAGAGGATCTAAATCAAAGAAGAGGAGGTCTAGCCTAGTGTCTACCTTACAGAGTCTACTTTCTAGCCTTCCCCTCTCACATGTCTGCACTTTAGATCCCTCAACATCCCCAATCACTCCAAATTCTTCTTATCATCGTTTACTTCAGATGAACTTGAAAAGAAACGTTCCCCAGGCGTAAGGAAAGTGGCCGCTTCTCCTTTGCCTCGGCTGGGTTCTCCACGAAAATCATGCTATTCGGCGATTCATGTGTATAGCGCCATGAAGAGAACGGGCTCCATTGTCCTGGGCCCCAAGCCGACAAAGGCATGCGGTAGGTGGAGTAGAATTCTCTTTGATTCAAAGTAGATTGACTGGTGTCGGATAAATCTGACGAAATTTGTTACAGTCAATTGTCGTAGGTTGAAGGTGAAGTTGCAGCGACTGTCAACCAGAATGGGCCAATTGTACTGACGGACTTCAAGATGAAATGTGAAATCGACGGGGCTCCTCCATGTCGTCGCTGTCGTCATACGAACGCTCCATGTATCTTCAAGCCTAGATCAAATGTACTGGTCGCATTTGCCTCAGTGCTTTCCTGAAAAGTCTGAGGAATTTCCGTTGCATACTGACGCCCTCTAGGCTGCCGCGGTCCAATCAATCCCAGAACGGTCACAGAGTGTGCAGGGCACGCTCGTGTATCATCCTTCGTCTCCCGATCAGGATTCGTCGTCTATCCTCGGGCGTCTGGAGCGGATCGAGTCACTGCTAGGTATTGGTAAAGAGGGAAACACGTCCTCATTGCTGACCATCGACTCCGATCTGGAGGAAGAGCCTGACGATGTGTCTTCCCGCGGACTTTGGAAAGCTGTTGAGCGTCTTAAGGTCATCACCAGTCCGCCTCAGAATCAGAATATCTGGTCATATTCGATTGTCACACGTTTATGGATCTCGTATGTAGCTCATACTTTGTTTACCTTCTCCCTTCTCAGTGCGCGAACTGACTCAAAATCTAGATTTCTGAACAACCTTCCATTACTTCATTTCGTTCAGGATCAAAGTGTCTTGGTCTCCCCTTCACCACTCTTGCTTGCCTCGGTTCTCTACATATCGGCCGTGCATAGCCCTCTACCAGAGCTTGCTTCGTTAGCAGGTGGGTATTTCGCAGCTACATGCAGTGCGATTTCCCAGCTTGTCGTTCCAAGCGCACGGCCTGGCATGTCTGGCTGGACCAGAAGTCATGTCTCCTCATCCTCAAGTGACGAGCATACGGTGTTTCAAGATATTCTCGGCCTTATTATGGCTAGCCTAAGTTGCGAAGCGTACATTGAAACTACGGACAAGTGGATAGCCCTCGCATACCGGCTTCTACTTGACCACTGCCCCTCCAACCTGGAAGACGCAACATACGATTGGCGTCGTCTTTTTTCTGGCATTCAGGTACTTTGCAGTGTGCTTTTGTGTAATACCAGGCTCTATTCTAATGTCTTCAGGTGATCGACATAGAGCATGCCTCCATGCACATGTGCTATCCCCTTCTTCCCAGACAGCCACCCATACCCGCTCTGCAACACTTGGATCGCCAACATGACAGTGCATTTCGCGGCCTCTCACAGATGATGCACCAAGGCCTTAACCATTTCGTAGGCCGGAAACTCCCCACTATATGGTCCTTCGTGAGTGCAAGGGATTCGGATGCCTTGCCCTCGGTTGGTACGCCTTTCACAGAAAAGGATTCTCAAGTTATTCGACTGTGGGCCAAGAAACTTGATGAGTGGCTGGTTCAATACAACGGAGCGTCGCGTAAGGCATTTCCCGGCTGGACACTAGCGATGAATGTAGCCAACACTAACATATCTGCTTGTGTCCATAGAGCCCTCGCCATCCGACCGTCAAGGTATCCTTATTCTCCTGCAGTATCATCTCCACAAGCTCTACGTTCTTTCAATCTACCATCCAGCACGTGGCTTCGACCTGGGCTCTGCGAACATCACCCCGAGCGAACGGCAGGAGCTCCTGATGTCGGCGCGCGCTGTCCTGCGACTGCGACAGGATGATGCGAGTATCTGGTCGAACTGGGATCTGATTGTAAGCATGTCCTCACCTCCCTTCTTGGGGCAAGACTAACAGTCTAGATGATTACCTGGGCAGCTATGCTCCTGCTACGCGGGGTCGAGGACGGAATGACACATCACGATGGTACGGTACGAGCAGCCATGCGTTGAACTCATATTCTAACACTACCTGCTGCAGATCTCCGTCTGATCCAAACCCAGCTGAGCACCTTGAAACGGAGCGATCCGTCCACGTTGAGCATTCACGGCGTCCTTGCAGAACGGCTTCAATCAGGAATACAAAGCATGCATACCCCGCCGGACAATGGACCTGATTTTGCGTTCCCGGCGCCGAATATGGATTATTCGTGGACGATCTTTGATCAGCAGATTATGAATCTAGCCAATCCGCCTTGGCTTTTCGATGACTCTTCCCTAGCGCCGCCATAAAAAGCCGGTCGAACGATATCAATGACAGTGGCATCCAACCGTCTTTGGTGTAAGGCAAGCTTCGTGCCTTTGAGCGGTTACTTCAAAGATTCTGGATCCCGCAAGCCAGGACAAAGCTGAACGTAGCAGTTGGTTCATATTGGCGTTACTGTAGAAAGATTATACATTGATCGTACAGTACACAAAGTGTGTAGCTGGTTTGTTTTGCTTCTTAAGAACTGGGTATAGAGTAACTGATCGTTAAATCATATCATAATGTACAATTCAGGCTCAATGCCATGGAATTGGCCCATTTGAATATAAGCGTTTCCAGCCGCTTTCTTTTCTGAATCACTGCTGCCAGTATTCCTGGCATTTCTTAACTTCCAGCCGAAGCGGGTCAGACAGTTCCTGCAGCAAGCGGATTAATCTTCTCCACTTTGCCCGTGAGAAGCGTTATCTCCATGGTTGTGGGACGAGTTTAGCTGACCAGCAGCTCCCGAGGCGCTGCTGGGGACTTGAGTAGGTGTTCTCGGGGACGTTGAAAGGTCTTCGGACGCGCCAGTCACTGATAGAGAGAAGGGTAGTGGGGGAAAGGTTCTGTTTGGGAGGAATTCGTAGGCGGTCGCCAGTCCGACGCGCGGCGCGAGACCCCTCCACGGGTAGGTGAAAGGGTACGGGCTTCATTTGACTCTACGTGGGTGTGATCCGGGGCTGTAGAAGGATTATCTGAGACACCAGGTGCAGATTGTGGATAAGATGACGGCGTAGGCTACAATTCCGAGTGAGCATGAATGGTTCCAAGTTTCATCGCAATTAGCATACCTTGTCTTTGCTTTGATCGAGGCCACGACCTGCAGCCAATCTTCGTGCAGCAGCCCGTCTCCGAGCTACGTTTGTTTCTTCCTCTAGCTCTGCTTGCTCCTCTTCTTTTCTCAGATCCACCAAGGACGCTGTGCCGTAATCACGAGTATGCTCTTTGTTAGGACTCTGGGATTGTCGTAACCGACTCTTTTTCTTTTTGGACTCCCTCGAAGCTGAAGTCCTGAAACTAAAGGTTCCCGACATGGACCGTTTCATTCCTGCAACTTTGTCGCTCAATTGATCATCCGAGTCCAATCCTGTCCCTCGGCGACTGACCCACGCCAGTGCAAATTCGTCGTCTAGAGGAACTGCATCTTCCTCCTCGTCGCTAGGAATCAAATCCCCTCTCGAGCTCAAGGAGGTGGCGGTCTCACGCGACGTTTGCGTGGCACTGCGGTATCGCCCATTCTTGCTGGAGGAGTCCTGCTCCTCCGTTTCTTCAGCGGACTCCATGAGGGGTTCATCCTCGGGCACATGCCGGCGCAGCCCCGTAGGATGTGGATGTTCCTGGAGATCCGCAGCAGATGGTCGATATTTCAGCCCTCGCGCCCCCAGTCTCCAAGGAAAGCGCTCCAAGAACCCCAGAAAGGACGAGCTTGGAATAACAGTCGGATCCTTTCGATTATCTGGTACCAAAACACTGCTCTTCCGTCTCGGGCCTCGAGTACCGTAACTCATTTTACGCTGTCTGCGTGGCTGTTCGGCGCCCCCGCGCGTCAACCCGCTCCCCGCCAGCAGCCTGTCAAGCTCGTCCGTGCCCCATCCAAGCAAGCTGTCATTGGCATCGTCATTATCCCAATCATCGTAAAAGTCAAAGCTGGCTTCCGCACGTCCCCGTCTTCGACGTCGAAGATGGTCCTCCCGACTGGGAAGACAGGGGGCCGTACATGCGTGGATGCAGTTTCCAATCGACGAAAGACAAGGTAGGATATAATAGTGCGAAAATGCATAGAGCCCTTCCTGAGCCGTCTCGTTCGCAGATTCCAGGTTGTGAGAGATCTGGTTGATCGTCTGGCGGACCCGAGGGTCTCTGGGTCGCATCATCTTGATGATAAGGTATCCCGTTTGGGTATGACGATCAGGCAACGGCAGAGGAGACTTTGTGCGCAGATGCTTCAGTGTGTTCCAAAAGAATCACATTGAAGTGAATCGATGGGACAAATAATATCGGCAGTCGACGGCTTGATCGTCAGCCCCATCGATATGTCCATGCGACGTGTATATAGAATAGAATGCGTTGGTTTGGGATGTGGTGCCTCACTGCCTCAGGAATGAGGGCATGCCTCCACCCTGCGATGTCATTTCCGCACTTGGCGGTTTAGTCAGCGGCACGTGCCATCAGTAACTAACGTTATCTATCGTCCATATCAGTAAATGTTTACCAGAATCTACTCCCTAGGATCGTCTATCAATTGTCCGTCTCTGACCTGAAAATGGTCTATTACATTCGTTTCCTGAAGACTCCTAGATTTCAGAGTCAAAAAGCGGGGCCTGTCACTGTAACTGCGCTCATATGCATCACCACCGACTTGGGAGATGCATTTCTAGCCCAAGATATCGATTTGCAGGTGACATTGAGTTCCAGTGGCTCAGGCAGGATCCTTTATAAGGACAATCTACAGTGGAAAGCGGGAAAACGCGAGCTCCCGCTATCCTTAGGTCCATTTTCCGCCAGACTATCCCAGGAGGCTATCGTGCTAGGCGTAACCGCGATTGACCCTCAATGGACAAGCCCGTCTGGTTCAGATCATCTGCTCAACGCCTCTAAACTGCCTCTAGTCATATCAGGCTGGAGCGCGCCGTTTGGAGGGTCAGAGTCTCTTGTGGCTGAGAAGCTTGTCGAACGACGCTTCCGCCCAAAGGATCAATTGGATCTCCGGATATGGGAGGAAACCGGCAACAGCATTGCCCGGCACATCTGGTGAGGCCTCTGAATTCGTATTTTGTTATTATTCTAAGAAGATATATATTGCGGTCCGCAGGGATGCAGCTATCGCATCGGTAATATACCTTGAGCAAGCGATCACTAAGACTCCAGGGTCCGCCGCACCTCTGCTCGAGAACCTGCTACAAGGCCAACGCAGCACCCCCCTTCACGCCATTGAATTGGGGTCTGGCTGCGGTATTGTGGGTATAGCGCTAGCAGAGCTCCTCTCGCACTGCTCGGTCCTACTTACAGATCTTGATGAAGTTGAGGAGATTGTGATGAAAAACATGGCCGTCGCAAGGCCAGCTCCGTCGTCCCAGGTCAGATATCAACCACTTGATTGGGATGTAAATCTGCCTGACGATTTATGTGACGGCCACATTGACCTCATTCTTGTCTCGGATTGCACGTACAACGCGGACAGCCTGCCGGCGCTGGTCAATGTGCTGGACCGTCTGGTCCAGATGTCGCCTGATGCTGTAGTCCTGGTGGCTTTGAAGAGACGACATGATAGCGAAGAGGTCTTTTTCAGCCTGATGGACTCGGTTAATCTTTTCAGTCTGCATAAGGACACCATGCAACTTCCGTCTCAACATGACCATTTTGACGAGATTGAGTTGTATTGCTATGGAGGAAAGGACAGACATGACGCTCAACATTGCAAGCCCATCGTGACGAGCTGAAAGACACTTCTTTGTCGTGATCAATCCACTGTTTAAACCATGAGCAACTAGCAAGCTTGCCTACCGCGCGGCGAACCTGTCAGCCGAAAGGCAAACCCGGCATATTGTATGCCGACTCTGTCCAGCTTCTTGGCACACTTGCCCGGATGGCTTGTTTCGGGATGATTCTGCCAAATTTATGCCATCGTTTTTGGTTGGCGCTGCCAAGCAAGCACGACCATCCGACATATGCGGTTTTAGGCTGAACGTCACATCTACCTCTCCTTCACCTGACCAACGTGAACCCAAGACCCCGGGACTATTGAAGAGTCTCCGGATGTGGTTCCTTACAAGCCGCATTGGGCCACAAAAGCGACGATGGAACACTTGGATTAGACTAGTAATAATCCTATTCGCCGAATTGTATGAGTGCGGCACATCGTTCGCGCAACATTCAGATTGGACATGCATTTCGTGATTTTCAATTATTCTATTTGAGACTTGCTGTTGTTGTTCTATACCAGCGCCTGAGTACTGTAATTTGACACTTCATTTTGCAACCTGCCCTCTTCCAGCCGTGCAATCTGCTCAACAAAGACAGCCAAGCTGACAGGAGTCTCAAATGGAAAGACTTAGTGTCTGGATCGAGAACGGTACTTGGATCCTGTTTCTCCAACGCGCCGTCGAGAACTGGATCGGTTCCAGGATCGTGCATACTCGGACCGCTTCCGTCGCGACACGCGCGGTGCTGTCCCTCGGCTGGTGACGCCCATAATTTCACGATCGACGTTCGAACTGTTTTCTTGTTGCTGTTGCTCATCGTTCGATGGGAAGTCTCCCTCTTCATTCGGAGGGTTGGATGACATTGCCTAAATGAGGTGCACAACTTGTGAATCAATACTGTCAAGGGTATGCGACAACCGAGCTGAGATAGCCTAGAGGGAGATTTGTCGCTTGCGTACTTTTGGAGGCCCTGGGATCTGATATATCGAGCGCCAGCCGGGTTTTGGACCGAGAGCGCCACAGTAGAGGATTTGGATCATGATGACGATTCTGCGATGCAATGGCGGAAGATCATACCTCCCATTCAATGAAGTCATGTTGTTGATGCTCGCGATCTCGATCAGGGAAGCTTCTTCAACTCCTGCCTTGCTGTTTCATGACGTCTTTTGTTAATCCGCAAGTGATGCCCTCTTGTTAGTGGCCTTTCTTGGATGGCCCATCCGTCACCAGATACCACTCTAATATTGTTCTTATGACCGTAAGCGCACGCAGAGCTCGACCTCCGTTTGGCGTAGAGGGCCGTCGAATGGGCTACAGTTTGGAAGAGCCCCTTCTCGAGATAATCCTGGGTCGAGCGCAGAAGATCTGCGCTTCATCAAGAGATTTGGCTCCTCGAAATGGTCACACCTGTTGTTCTCGTTTGACAAACGGGGAGACACTTGGATCCCGCAGAGTTGTTTTGCAAACGTGGCAGTAAGCACCATACGAGTGGCTTGGTAAATACTTTGCATGGCGACTCCTCTCGGTCACTGTATCCTGAAAGGACTCCATGTCCGTACCATCGGACATCCCCAACGGCTTGGAACCTTTGAAACCCCAACAAAAGTGTACTGGGCTGATACTGATTACTGATCGCTTCAATTCAACGTGCTCTAGTTCCTTGGCACTTGTAAAATCATGGAGAACAGTGAAGCTGGCCTGTTCAAGTATTGTATGCGGCCAAGCCATGCGGCTTGCAGTGACCTGGTCATGAGAAGAGTGAGATGCGACTAGAAGGCACTATCTCGTCTGCATGTTTCATCTCGCATCGCCCTTCCTCATTGAGGTAGAAACACGGAAGAAAATTGTCATTTTTTGCCAGCGTTCTTTGGCTGTGTCCTGGACTCCTGATGTAGCGGTCGGATGCATGATTCCGTGCTCTCGGGGTTTGAAAATGTCTCCTCGAACGAGCATCAGAGTGGCTAGCAGCGTAGAGATATTCAGATGACCATGGAGAGAGGCAGCGGCGGCCTGGAATTGCCGGAAAGTCCGTATACGAGCGTCTACATCAGAGAGCATGAAGTACTTCGTATACGATATAGCATCAATGGGGACAGCCTCGGCAGTCCCGCTGATGGTGACTCAGCGGCGTATGTTGAGGTTGTATCAAATGCCACGACACTCATTAAAATGTTGAGGTTTGACGAACTATATAAACGAGCCTTATCTGCTTCCAGATTTACAAGACTGAGCCTTAACAACAGACTGCGTTACCTGGACTGCACAGCATGGCCGCTCCCAAGATTACACTCTACTTCGACATCGTGAGCCCGTTCGCTCATATAGCGTTTCATGTATTGAAGGTGAGTGATAGCATGCTCGCATCCAACGTCTAAGAGGCTGCTAGTAACATTTTTGAAGCACTCTCCGACCTTCGCCAAGTGCGATATTACATATGTGCCCATTTTCCTGAGTGGGTTGTTGAAGGCATGCGAGAATACTCCACCCCTCCGGATCAAGAGTAAGTCAATTTCCAGGGAGGTTTCATGCTCAAACCAATACCTAATTGTGTCCTCCAGACAAGGCGCAATGGACCAACCAAGAACGGCTCCGCTGGGCCCGCTACTTCTCCGTTCCCATTGTTGAACAAACACCGGCAGGCTTTCCGTCCCTGACTGTGGCAGCGCAGCGTGCTCTGTGCGCCATCTCGCAAAAGGCGCCGGAACGCTTTGTTCCCGCTATCGAGGCGCTCTTTCAGTCCTACTGGGTCGAAGGGAATAGCCAGGTCGGACAACCTGAGGGATTCGGCCCCGTCCTGGAGAAAGTGCTCGGCAAAGAAGGCGCACAGCAGATCCTCAACGCCGTACGTTGATTGTTGTTACTGCGTTTCGTATTGCTGGCTTTACTGACCGTCGGTAACAGGCGAGCCAAGATGAGGTCAAATCGCTCTTGTCGGCCAACACTGATCGTGCATTCAAGTCCGGTGCCTTTGGGCTTCCCTGGTTTGAGTGCACGAACTCCAAGGGTGAGACAGAAGGGTTCTGGGGAAACGACCATCTGGGCCAAGTCGCCGAGTTCTTGGGATTGGATCGCAGTCTGGACAAAGGTTTCCGGGCGGTGCTGTAGCCCGTAGGATAAAGGGCGTAACATGATGTCTAATTTGTCGCTTTCCGATATTTTTTCTGCTGTCATTTCGCAGTTCGCGATTCTGCTTGCCATTGGTGTCGTAGCTAGGCGGATCGTCAATTTGAATGTATGTACATCGATTTTCTCAGATGAGGCCAAGCCTCGGCAATGTCATTGCTGCTTCGAAGGCCGCACCGCATCGCTCTTGTGCCTTTCCTGCAGAAACTCGACGATTCGCTCCTTGGGCAGCTCATCAATCCTGCGGGCTTCTTGCGGATCGCAGTCTGTCTCTTATCAGCCATCAACCAATCTATTCAATCAATCAATCGATAACTAAATGAACAAACCTTCAACTCCCGTACCTGTACTCTCCTCCGCCTGTTTACTCCCCATCGTGATCGAGTACGCCGTATCCCGAACCTCCCGGACAACATCCTCGGCCGAAACCGCACCAGCCTTATTTCTGATCTCGGCCATGGTCGTCCCAGCCATGTTGCTGATGTGATTCCCCAGGTCAGCGAGGGAACTGGTTGTCGTCGAGTACATATCCGCAGTGCTGGTGCTGGGCCCAGTGGCCCTAGTCCCGTCCCGCCCTTGTTCCTCTGCTTGCTGCATCCTGGATTCTATTTCCGGGGGCTGCTGCGTATCGCGCGTGGAATTTGAATCGGGATCCATTTCGACCATCTTTTTAATTTAAACAATTCAATCTAAATCAATGGCAAACTTTTTGGCTGTTGTGTGGTGGGTTGTATAACTGTATAGCTTATATGAAATGAAAGGTCCATATGGGTCCACGTCCGGAGCCGATGACATCAACCGCGCAAGAAGCTCCAGGATATCATCATGTCATGATCATCTTTAGTCCATCCGTCAGCCTTATGGATCCCCCTGCAACGATAGCCGAGTTAGCAGAGTGGAGTCAGAATATTTTATTGGGTGTCTTATTCGCCGGTTTGGAATTTGTTCAGCAAGCAAGTACTCCCTGTCGTGGGCCCAGGTCCTTTTGTCTCTGGTTGACTGGGCTGAAGTCATACAGCATACTGGTACTGATTAGGCAGCATAATTTTTCAGTCATGCAGAAAGATGTCGTTGTTTGTGATATTCTGGTTGTAATCTGCTGGTCCAATATTGTTGAATCGGAAAGTGCATAGTTCTAATATATATATATATATATATATATCTTTCTTCCTCCAATTGGAATCCGGGAGCAAAGAACTACACAGTTAAACTCAAAAGTCGACTATATAAATTTGTAATCAGGGGTGAGGAATATAACCTCTCTAGGGCGAGGTTATGCTATGAAGACATACAGACGTCGTATTCCAGTAAACATCGTGGAGAATATATACATTGAAAAGATTCAACCACAATCAATCATAGAGACAGTGCCATAAGGATTGTCAGACAAAGAACTAGGAAAGGACTTTGATTCAACACATGTGCTAACGCTTGTCCCAGCCGTCTTCCAACCGTACTCTCCTCGCCTCAAACAGGCCACCGTTTTAGCCAGCTTCTGGCAGCCTGGGTCTTGGCCGGCGACGGAGATCAAAACAGGTGCTCGCCCCTTAAGCGCTGAACAATGCAGGACCAGGAATAGGGTACCCACCGCTCAGACCCGAGTAGATGTCAAACTTGATGCCAGAATCAGTGTTCTTGTACAGGGACGTGCCAGCGGTGCCAGATCCCTGAGCACTGCCGCCACCGGTGATCTTGATGTTGAAGCACTGGGGGTAGTTCTGAGCGCCGTTCAGGTTACCCGCAGAGTGAAGGCCGATGATCTCGTGGCGGAGGACGTAGTTTCCGGCGGCATAGGAGGCAGGAATGGTCACCGTGGCCGTGTTGTTGTTGGCGATCATTTCATCAGAAGCCCATTTACCAGGTGGGCTGGAGCCGTCGACCAAGCCTTGAGCGGCGATCTTGACGAACTTCAAGGTGGTCTTGTCCACGGTGGCGCAGTCGCCGTTGCACGGAGCGAGGTAGGTAATCAACTATAACTATGTTAGCCTACCTGGTCACAATGTGTTCTCTTCTCTTCGGCCTCGTACCGGTCCATGGTGAGACTCTGGCCACGTCGTCCACTGGAATTCGATCTGTGAACCAGCTGCAACGGTTGCGGTCAACTTGCCATTCTTTGCGCTCTTGTGGCAGATAATATCCGCAGACTGGTAGCCGGTGCCGTCCACAAAGCCGAGGTCGGTGGCGGTGGTGGACCAGGCGATTGTGTCGGGGGGTTGCTCATGTAGGGGTACTGGTTAACAAGGTACCCTCCGTAGCTTGAATAGGTGTTAGCTGTTATATATATCTGTCACTGTGTGGTTCAAGCACATACTATTTCCCATCAGCAACAATGCCTGAAACGTAGCCGTGGCCCGCCACGAGAGACGCCGAGGCCAGAAGGCCAGCAATGGAAGCGACCTTGGACAAAACCATGCTGTCTGATAGCAGAAGGTAAAAGTTCAGACAATAAGTTGAAGAAGCAGCAGCCAACGATTAAAGACCTGCTTGATCAGGGGCCTCTGGAGCTAGAAGTGATTGGGTTGAGCACAGAACAGAACAGAATGCAGCAATGGGGCGACATTTCAGGCCCTTTTATAACTATTCTGAAGTGCTTCGACCCCTGTAAGTATCAGCAGTGCATGGAACCAGAAACCCCGACGACCCCTGAAAAAGTGTCCTGGTGGGCAGCCGGCATAACTGAAGAAATTATCCATCCCTCTGATACAAGGGCTCCTGAATCACCAGATTCCCTTCTTCATCTTCGGCAGATAGGAACGCTACGAGAAATCCCGGCGCCAATGGCTGCATGCATGCATGGGTGCCATGAATCATTGGCGCTCCACAACCTTGCAATCCGGAAATGTTCTCTGACGCCGGCCTCTTTGGCCTGTGAATGCATGTACCGTGCAGCCACAGTCCCCTGCCGTTGTTCTTTTTTTCTCAGACCTTGCTGCTGGAACCGTCCAGAAACATCAGACGCATCAGCATCTTTCACCTTCCTCCACAGTGGATATCGCGCCTTGACCGGTGGGTACCTTCGATACACCGAGTATCACGGCTCAGCAGCAGTGAAACCCAGACATAGTGATCCATCTATCTTCACAAAGCACAATACGCCAGACCATCGCGACAGACTGAGACTCCTGGTCATCCGACTGACTAGTACGCCATCCAGCCGTTTCTCTTTGATGAAGAGGAGGCGTTGGGCATGCCGCACAAAGCACACAGCCAAGAGGCTCCCTGTATGGAAAGTGACGATCCCCCAGGTTTTGCCGGACACACGGGCCGACGGCAATATACGAGCCTTTGGCACTTTTGCCTTGGGATCCGTGCCTGAAACGGTTACCTCGCAGTTTCTTTTGCTGTGTTGGGCCTCTAAGGCGGCTCAGACCGAGACCAGGGAGGGTACCCCATATATAAGTGGCCTTACCTTGCAAGTGATTTGCCGTGCCTTGAAGAGAAATGATTAGCGTTCGATGTCCCAACTATTGTTTTGATTCGAGAATGCTTACTTTCACTGGCTGGCCCCTGAGCCTCTACTTCGAATAAAGCCGGCGCTTGACCTGTGTTGTTCATCATGGATACTACAAACGAACGCTAGAGCAAGTGCATAATTGATTCATCACCTGATGCCAGTCACCGTGCGGACAAAATCCTATGCGGAAGTCTTCATGGCCGACTGTCAACCATGACGATCGCCGTCTTCCTGACTCGCTGAAATGAGAGGGAGACATTGGAGTCGATGGGTTCAAGTTTCATCAAACCTTTGCCAAGACGTAAAATAGCCTAAGTCAGTCCATATCTGATACGACATACTGAAGATCGCGGGACGTGGACAATAAACCCGATACTGGAGGAAATGTGAAGATCCAATGAGAAGCGATCTTTCTGGCCCAATTCCAGTCAACTTGTGGTCTGCAACAAGGTGGGACTTGTGGAGTCCAGTCATTACTCGGTATCCCTCGAGGCGAAGTAGATAGATACGCACAGGTCAGACGTCGCACGAAGTCTCGACATAACAGTCAACAGTCTAGACAAGATCACAAGCGACCCCTTCCCAGTTTGTACCGGATGCTGTCCGAGTCCCGTATACATACGGCTTCAGATAATAATGCCAAGCGCTCCATCGTCTGCTCTGAGGAGGCAGCGCAGTATCATGTCCACCCTAAAGTGACTGCGTCTAATAGGCGTGCACCCCAGAGAAAGAATTAAAGATATCCTACGTCATATGGCTGTAATCTACAAAGTACGTATACCGGATTGAAATATTGCGTTCCATCCATGGCGACACAGGTCACAATCCATGTGTAAAACTACTCGTTTCAGCATGACCGGGAAGTGGAAAACAGGTAAGAGTTTTCAACTGTTTTTCTCCATTAAGTTATAGAGCCCAGGGGGCTTCGACAAAACAGCCCCTGGTGGTAGGTGCAGGTAGCTAGGTCGTCTGGCTGATGTGAAAATGCCATCTGCCCTGACGTTTCGACGTGTTCAATAACAGTCGCGAAGAAAAACAGATTCACCGCATAAGCTGAATTGTCATTCTAATATCGGCCCACAAAAGTTCATGCCCATGCCGATTCGCTTTTGGTAGTTGTTTCCTGCATTGACCGAGCTCAAATCACCCTTTCCCCATCGACTGAAGGTATTTACAGAGCCTTCTTCTTGTCACCCTTGGACACATCGACAACCTTGAGAGCTGTTGCAAGACGTAGCGTTAGCTTGATATCCCGAGCAGAAACGCGGCTTGTTTTCTCATTCCACTCATCACTTCTACCACTGCACACTATTCCCAAAAAAAGTGGTCCGTGACTGGGGCAACCCGGAAAGGAACTTAGGTTGGCAACGCACCTGGGGGCAGGCTCTGCTTGAGCTTGTCGGCCTTGTCGGAGTCCTTCAGGACAAGAGTGTAGATGAAGCGGTGGCATCTGACCTTGAACTTGATCTGCTGGGTCGAGCGGTTGCGCTTGATGCGGGCAGCTGTAAAAAGAGAAAACCAATTGTTAGCATCCATGCAATTCCATTGCTAATCCTTCCACGGAGCTGAATCCGAGCTTATTCACATCGCTCTACTCCGTAAAACCGGGGAAATCGTGTGCGGGAAACGTACAGGAGGCATCCTTGCGGCGGCAGATCTCGATGAACTGCTTGATATCGGAAACTTCACGAGGCATGGTGGGCAGGGGATATGGACGCAAACCGGGTGATCTGAAAGAAAGTCGGGAGCGAGGGAATGGAGTGCAATCACTTTCACGGAGTCTCAACACGGGCAGCTACGGACACTTGAGGCAATTGTGTGGAATCTGGCAGATTAGGGTTTAGCCGGTGGGAAACCCTTGGCTGCTGCGCCACACAACCACACATCACAGCCTCTCCTCCTCTTGTGGCTGGTGCTGCCTCCACTGCCATGGCGGCACAGTCCCAGGCGCAATATTGTCGGTAACTCTGGATGCATCTCTGTAAATCGGGTTGGGGTGATGGATCACTGATGCAGCATCCGCTTGACTTGGTGCAAAGTCATATCGAACGGGTGCAGCTGTGAGAGGAACATCTCCGAGCTCCACGCCATTTCTGCTCCTCGGATCTCTCTTGGAAAGATGGACTCGGAGTCTGTTTCGCCTCCAGAAGGCAACCCTGAGCATTGGAGATGAGCATCACCGTCATATATGGGATACGATACTGCCACTTACAATTTGACTGAATTGCTGAGAAAGATGATCATAAATGTAAGGACACTGAAAGCTAGACCTGCCCGCAACAGTGTATCGAACCACTCGAACGCGGGATCGTAAACGCGATTGCTGCCCTTGGGCGGCGGAGGCATGATGGTGATGATGGAAATAGCAGAGTAACGTAAAGGTATTTCTGATGTATGAATAGGCGAAATGTTTTGAGTATGAGAGAGCGTGGCTTGATAACAGTAGGTATACGGTAAAAATTCTATGACTGCACAGAGGGAACGAACAGGGCAAAGTGAGATGTATTAATCTTCAAAGAAGACGGACTGCAGCTATCAGGTACTATATCTAGAGTTGCTCTTTCCTACTCAAGCCACAAGTAAAACTACAGGAAGGCATGATCATGACAAACAGGAGCTGGCAGCTTGAGCAAAATCGCAACAATGGGGTAGGAGCCTCACTTCCTTCTGTATTCAATCTATCAGGTAGAATTCAGGAAATAATGCAGCAAGCGCGAACCGAGGATATGTGGATGCCTGAGGTGTTTATATCCCCAGAATGTGGCGTTGGTGCTGCAAGTGGCGGTGCAAAGGTCTAGGCGGCAGCTTTCCGACCAGCTTGGCTCGTAGCTTCTGTGGCGAAACCATCCTATAACGACAGAAGATAATATCGAATATCAACTCGAATATCAACAACCGACATCTCGCAGACGTGTTCTCCGCGCGAAAAAGCCTGTATTTGGAAAAATGCCCACAGCCTTAGACCGAGCAATGAGTTCCAAGGTGAGTATACCCCAGCCTGCTGCTTTCAGCCATATTTCATCTTAGTGGTAACTTGCTGACACATATCCAGAATCTTGTCCTGGGTAACTTCTCCGGGTGGCGCACACATTGAGTCAACACGAATCAAACTGACAGGATGTAGGTTTCGCCGGGATGGTCACAGCTGCCGCAGCGTGGGCAATCTGGGGAAGCGACATGTTCCCGTCCGAGCCAGACCCAACTGGAGGTATGAAACTCAGGGCCATTGCCATACCGGAGTAGAAGGTTGACTGTGTGACTGACTCTGAGAAGATCCTGAATACTGGACTGCCGACGAGATGCGGAGATGGCTCCGCAATGTACGTTCCTCTCCTCTCATAAAGGATGTACCAACTAACTGGCGGCGATCTGCAGAGAGCTCTCCTGCCCACTGAACAGGCCACACGCGACGAATTACTCGAGCGTGTCAAAGCGAATCTGCGCGTACCGCCGAGATCAACCACCTGAGTTTTATGAGACACACGAATGTCGTGTTTGAATCAGTTTCTGTATTTTCATGGCGTTCTCTTTGTACTCATTTCGTTATTCAAACCAGCAGAGATACCTAGTGCGCGCGCCGTCTATGGATGAATAAGCGATGATCGTGTTATGAGCGACCTGTCGAAAAAGTTGATATGTTGGACGTAAGCACATTGCCTCTTCGGAGTATGCATTAATCAAACGACAAGTCGAAAGTTTTGTGTTTGAATAAGCCATTCTCTGCGGCGTTTTCCTTTGGGGGCATCCGCTGTAGGATTCGGTACCAGAATGAAGGTTTCACTGAAGCCACGCTGCGGTAGATCTCTGGACTCCCCAAATCGTACATAGCCGCTTACTACCACCAATATTGACATGTCCTTGACAGTCGTCTGATTGGGGAGCTTCACGCCGGATGTTGTTGGCGTGGGGTACGTTGGATTGATGACCTGACAATCGAACGACTGCACCTCGTAATGAGCAGGGGGCATCTGGTTGACGAAAATTTCTTGGACGGCATTGCCATCCGCGACAGCGTTTCCGTTGAATAGGATCGTAGACGTGGGCTGGCCGTAGAATGAAGCGATTGCGGCGCGATTGGACTGCAGAGCCGGGTAGAATGATTGGACAAAATCAGTAGCAGCTGGAAAGACACAGTCAGAAAGGAACAACAATGTTGGCAGGGCCCAAACTACCATCAGTTGACACTCTTGTGAGCACATCTTCACTTCGAGTAGTCATTTTGGCGACAGATTAAGCTGGATGTAGATTCCGCGAGCTCTGGTCGATGATGGAATATGCGACAACAATTTCGTGTACGACAGCGAGACGCGCGACACGAACGTTAATAACACGGTATTGAAGCTTCTAGAGGGACTGTAAATGTTCAAGATCCCTGATAGATTGGGTTGAGGAATGAGACCGACGTTAACAATTGCAGAGGTGGAAATTGCAGGTTATGTATTGGAGAACGGACATCATGAGGGAAAAAAGTTACGGAGGAGCTTGGACCACCCGGAGATTATCGAGCTCCGAGAAGTCACCCAGCATGAGAATTGTCTTCCATAAACAACTTCATTTTTCCATGTCACTATTGCTTCCCAATGGCTTCCTCTAAAGGGAGACTCCGTACGCTTTCATGGGCCAGTCAATTTGTAGCCCATAGGCGTCCATTGTGGAGATGTGCTCCGTGCAGAAGTCCTACTCAGGCCATTTCAGCGCGCCGATTCGCGACAGCGACTTCCGAGCAAAGCTTGAAGAAGCCGTACTATGTGACGACTCCAATATTCTATGTGAACGCCGGTACGAGCCTCTATCAACTCTATGCGGACCCCAGCGTCGAATCCGTACTGATGGGATCGATTTTCTGAAAGCCCCCATGTTGGTCATTTCTATACTATGGTGATCACCGATATTCTGAAGAGATGGCGGGTACTTCTTGGAGACAAGGATGCTCAACTGTTGACCGGAACCGACGAACATGGAATGAAGGTATCTTCTGGTGCTTGATCTGGGGCTGTCTCACGCGGTTAACTTGTTGAAATAGATTCAGCAGGCCGCGAGCGCGGCAGGCATGGACCCTCAAGCCTTTTGTGATATGAACTGCAAAACCTTTCAGGTCGGTCGCCTCCTTTTGCAGCACTTACGAGAACCTCTACTTAAATTTGCGATAATGAGTTTCAGGCGCTAGCAAAAGCCGCAAATGTTGACTACGATCATTTCATACGAACGACCGACCCGGCGCACAAGGAGGCTGTTCAATACTTCTGGGTTCGTCAGAAATGCTGCTGGCTATTTGCTCCGCATGCTGACTATGGGAAAGGAAATGCTGAACCACCGGGGCTATATTTACACTGCAAAGCACGAGGGATGGTATTCTGTCAGCGACGAAACTTTCTATCCCCCAACACAAGTGCAGAACTCCTTAGATCCCTCTACTGGAAGGAAGAGAATGGTATTTGGTCCTAGAAGTCGGATGTTATCAGATGTACAATCACTCACTATTCCAGGTTTCAGTTGAGACAGGAAAAGAGGTAGAATGGTCCTCGGAAACCAACTATCACTTCAGACTGTCTGCCTTCCAGGAGCGCCTTCTGGAGTTATACAAGAGTACAGAGTTCGTCACGCCTGGTAACTATGTGGCAGACCTCGTCAAGTCAGTCTCCTCGGGACTATCAGATTTGTCGATCTCTAGGCCTGTAGAGCGATTGACCTGGGGCATTCCTGTACCGGGCGATGAGACCCAAACGATCTATGTCTGGCTAGACGCCCTTATCAACTATTTGACTAAGGCTGGGTACCCTTTTCCTCCTGGCCAGGAGGGCCGACTAGGTTGGCCAGCCGATGTGCATGTCATCGGCAAGGATATTGTTCGGTAAGTTATTCTTCCGCGGGACGGGCGGGACGAAATATTGACAGCCGTGTCAGTTTCCATTGCGTCTACTGGCCCGCCTTCCTCATGGCATTGGATTTGCCCCTACCTCGTAGGGTCCTCATTCATGGTCACTGGACCATCAACCGGGAAAAGATGTCGAAATCCACCGGGAATGTGGTGAATCCCTTTTTCGCGATTGATCGGTTTGGCGTCGACACCATGCGTTTCTTCCTTGCTTTCCAAGGTGGACTAGCGGGGGATGCCGACTATGACAACTCCTACATTATCCGTGATTACAAAAAGATGCTCCAATGGGGCATTGGAAACCTAACCCACCGTACAATTGGTTGTGCAAAGGGTAACCTGCGGTCATACATTGCGGACGCAGCCGCCGACAAGCTGCCCGCGCCGACGCCCGAAGATCTGGAGCATCAATCGCTTCTGGAGCAGACACCTGATAGAGTGGCGGAACAAATGGAAAAGTTAAACCCCCGTGCCGCTTTGCAGGACATCATGGTGATTATCGAGAAGGTCAGTGTTGAGAGTCCAATCACAACGACTAGACTCGATTATCTCAGACTGACATCGCTTTTGTTATCCTTAATCGCAGACAAACAAGTATTTCCACGCGGCAGAGCCATGGAAAACTCCAGCCGAGTCGCAGCGAGTGCTCTACAATGTCGCCGAGTCCCTACGAATCTCCGGTATTCTATTGCAACCTTTTATGCCCAGTAAGTCCAACGAACTTCTCGATATTCTCCGTGTAGACAAGACAGAGCCATCGAAACGGAGCTTTTCGGCTGCACGCTACGGTTGTGATCCGGACTACGGTGAGGGTGTCAAAAAGAGTATTCTTTTCCCGCCTCTCATTATTGAAGAATGATGGGAGAATGAGTTTCCGTTTGATAAGAAGAAAGGATCACAGTCCAATCATACAGAAAGATGATGATTCTCTGCTTCTCCGCCAATGCAAGGTTAAGTAAGACACTTTTCCGTTACTTGCCAGTGGAGCTGGGTTGCAGGACTACACGATCATCGCCATGTATAGATGAGACAAGGTTTATGTTATGTCATGGCGTACGGCTTCTGGATCCTCCTACGCTTGTCCACAAGGTTATCAGCGGGAAAAAGTGTTCCAGAATCGCGACGTTGAATTCCCGCACACCTTGCGGACGGAAAACCCTGGCCCTTTCCCGCGGCAAACCTCCTATCAGAGTAATCGGGAAGTATGCCCTAATGTATATCAGAAGAACTGGTGTTTTGGAGTCATATAGTTCATGGATAAGCAGGAATTGGCTTGTATTATTTCTCTCATGTTGTATCTTGGCTTCTAATCTCCAGTGTGATACTAGGAGTCACTTTTTTCCCCGGCTTTTTTGCGTTCCTTGATACCTCATATACTCTGCTCGGTTTATACTATTACCTCCCAACTTACGAATTGGATTGGCATACAATACTTTTCAATTGTGCTCTATTGTCTTTTCCCTGGTCTCTTGAGCAGACGTGAATCCCCGCTCTTACACCATGGGCAGCATCTCACCTGAGGAAGCGAAGCTGAGCTTCAAGATGCCATGGGTTGAGACTCCCCTTGTGGAATCCGCCTGCCTGTCTCGTGCAGCAGGCTGTAGAATCTTCTTGAAACTCGAGAACATTCAGCCCAGCGGATCCTTCAAATCTCGTGCAATGGGCAACCAGATCCTCTCGCACCTCGTCAAGCCGGAAAACGCTGGCCGGCGGGTGCATTTCTATGCTTCCTCGGGGGCAATGCCGGCCTGGCTGCCGTCTGTGCTGCCCGGAGCTTGGGTTATCCTTGCACCGTGGTTGTGCCTGTCTCGACCAAGCCCTTGATGGTGAACAAGCTGCGTGCGGCGGGCGCTTCAGACGTCATCCAGTACGGCGAGACATTCTCTGAAGCTGGAGAGTACATGCGCGAAGTGATTATGAAGGCAGATGGCGGAGACGCCGGGAAAGATGTGGTCAAGATTGCCCTCCATCCCTTCGACAATGAGCCCATCTGGGAGGGAAACAGCACGATCATCGATGAGCTCGCTGCTCAGCTGCCGCCGGTAACAACCAGAGAAGAAGCTATCGCCTACAATGGTCGTGCTTTGCCACTGGACGCGGTGATCTGCAGTGTTGGCGGCGGCGGACTGCTTAATGGTCTTATCATGGGCCTAGAGCGACGGAGACACTTACAAAAACAGAGCTCACACTACAGCAACGGCATCACATCCTCTCAACCAGACCCCATCCACATACTCGCTGTCGAAACCCAAGGCACAGACTCCCTCGCCGTCGCTGTCGCCCAGAAATCCCTCGTCTCCCTCCCCAAGATCACATCCCAAGCTACCTCGCTGGGCGCCATCCGCGTTTCGGAACGTACATTCAAATACGCCATCTCCCCTCCACCCGGCATTGCTGTGCACAGTGCTGTCCTCTCAGATGCCGATGCCGCCCGGGGCGTGCTCCGTCTCGCGGACGACGAAAGACTGCTAGTGGAGTTGGCGTGCGGTGTCTGCGTCGAGGCAGCCATCGGCGATGCGGCCAAGGCACGCGCCTCGGGATCAGCAAGCACACATTTGACAGCCGAGCAGGCAGCCCTGACAGGAAAGAAGCGGAAGAGGACACAGACGGAGTTCTCCCAGCGGGATGAAGGGTACGGCGATGACCGACTGTCGTCCGGAGAAACCGAAACGGAGGCGGAAGAGACGGGCAGCCAGCCTCAAGCACATCCTTCCGAAAATACGCCGTCGCCGTCGCCGTCGCATGAGTTCCAATCCAAGCTGAAGCAATTGGTCCCTAACCTGCAACCGGATAGTCGAGTGGTGATCATCGTCTGCGGAGGCAGCAATGTCACCATCGACGTGGCGGCAGAGTGGAGGAAGATGTTACAGGAGGGTTGGGGGGCTTAAACCAGTTCTTCCCACAACAGTATATACAATATTCCCTTTAATAACGGATACGATTTCTTGATTTGACGACTGCGTTCATGCTATG